AAACACAAGTGAAACAATCGATGTATTTATAGTAAACCTAATAAACCTCCAGATAAGGCAGTAGTTAGGGCAATCTTTTACTTCAAGTAATCCCAGGAAAGCCAGGAATTGTAAATAAATCTCAGATATTGTGTTCATTGTGTTTTTTGTTTCTCTGGATGGATTTTGTTCAAATCCTGGAACACATAGTTCCACAGACTCTTAAGATTTTCATGAACTATTAATGTAATTAAAATTTTAAATATCAGCATTCTCAAATCTAAGATTTTACTATATTAAAATAACTTTGAACCAAAACTTTCTGTGGTCACTATGAAGTAGATACTTTGTGTTCTTATAATTAAATGTTACCAGTGGCTTTGAGTTAAAAAGAGTTGGTGTGAGATTGCCTCTAATTTCTGGCAGCCTTTTCCCATTTTGATATCTTCACACAAATTTTCAGGGGGAAAAATGGCCCCTCAGTCTCATCTTAAACAACATCATTAATACCTCACTGAGTCCACCATGTCAAGTCCCTGTATGCTGCGCTCCAGAACAATTTCTTGTATGTATTGGTTTCAGAAGATACACTTCTAAACAATGCTGGGCTTTCATCTGACGGGCAGTGTACGCCTCATAAAAGATCACGTTTTCTTATTTGTTATAGTCACAAAGAAGCTCAGAGTCAAAATTGTGGCCCACTTCTAGCAAATGAACAGGATGATATGCATTTCAAGGGGTTAACGGTCCCTTCCTGTTATCGTAGTTTTATACTCCATTTTGTTTCCATTTCCATTTTCTCATTTGTTTTATTTATTCATGTTTACAGCTCACATATTTCTCCAGAAGGCACCTCAAATCCTCTTTTAGAAAAAGGGAGCTAAGAAAACATTAAATAGATAGATAAATAAATAAGGCAAATAGATAATAAGGCATATAATGAATAGAATAAAAACGATTATATAAAAGTATATAGTAATTATATAATAAATTGATGAGAGGTTATACAATGGATGTGTTTCTAGACTGCTGCTTGTGAATAAATTATTTTAAAGTGAATTATACATTTAATCTACTAGAGGAGCTTGCCATTCAAGCATTTCATAAAGCAGAGTTTCAGTATCACGTGAATACTCAACTTCTGATATAGATGAGGTTTTTGTTACACAGATTCATGTTTTATGTTCCCTGAGTTAAAAGAAAACTATTTTATAATAACTATAAATGGAGTATAGCTTTTAAAAATTGTGAGTCACTATGTTGAACACATGAAACTTACATAATATTGCAAATCAACTATACCTGTTTAAAAAAAAAAAAAGAAAAACTAGAGTGTAAAAGAAAAGTATAAAAGTCCTTGATTTTTTATTCCCCCATTACCTCCACTTTCCAAATTTTTTCACTTCCTAGAGGAAACCACAGTTAATAATTTAATGTAATTTTTCTAAATAATTTTTAAATGTTCATATATATATATGTGTATATATATACATATATATGAGGAAAATTTTAAAGTTTTTGCCTCAGACAGATGTTTGTGGTCTGCTGGTTTAAAAACAGGAGATGGGCAGGATGGTTAGCGTGGATAGCTGGAGAGGTTGTGGAAGAGTCGAAAGAACAGACTCGACTCAGAAAGGCTCTGGACTCCCATCCAACCCCTGTATCTACCGAATTGTATGATTTGGTCCCTTTGCCTGGCTTTTCTCACCAGCTTCCTCACTAATCAAGAGAGGATAATTGCACCTCCTTCACAGGACAGAAAAACTGACATAATTGGTATGAATGTGCTTAGAATACTGTATAGCATTAAGAAAACACGAAAAAAGTTATGAAGCAAATTTAACTTCAACAGACTTTCTGATTTATTATTTATGTATAACAGGGAAGACGTATTTGACTTAGTTCTTAAATCTCCCTCTTAAAGATATCATGAGTTTCTCTGGTTAATATGTCTCAGCCTTCACTGGGTTCAGCAAGTGCTATGAAGGGCCAGTGTGACCTTGAGAAAAGTGCTGTTACCCTGCAAGCCCTCTCTCTCCTCAGTCAATGGTCCTTCCCCTACCTAAACATTTTTTCCAGCTAAGAATTCTCCAGCAGTCCATCCCCTCACCTGACCTTTCCTGGCTTCACCAGGTGGACACTGGGTGGTAGGCAGGCCTGTTCCTCTCGTGTGTGAAGGATTCAGCATTCCTCCTCTTGGGCTTTCACGATGCCCTGGGAGAAATGAGGTTAGCAAACCAGATTGATGGTTTATTTAGCAATTGGAAATGCTCTGTGTGCCTAATTTCTATAAAGTTGCTGTGAGAAACTTTCATCCCTGCTCAGACTCCTTTCTCACTCACATCCTTCTTTCCTTTTGTATTTCCACCTCTTTTAAAGATAAAGAGGATGGAAGGAAAGAACCAAATAAGAAACAACGTGAAGACAAAAAGTAGGAAAGGATTGAATGTGAGAGGAAAGAAGGGATGGAAATGCCCTGATCATGGTAGGGTTGGTAAATTCACCTCCCTGCAGCATAGGCTGAGTGACAGATGGAAGCTGGATTGGAGCTGGGCAGAGGAGGAGGGGAGATCCACCACATCTACCAGACTCGAGAGCCTCTGCCATTTCCGTTACTCCAGAGCATCTGGTTGCAGGTTCATGGTCCTCCTCTATCTTGTGGTGACCATTATGGGACTAAATTTGATACTGGGAACAGCAATTTAGGAAGGTTTTAATGAACTGGAGCATACAGTAAGGTAGAGGCCCGGGGTGGTGTAGGATCTGGATACCTTATCATATGACAAGTAGTAGAAAGACCTACATGTTTGGCCTGGAGAAGAGGTAACTTATGGTGAGACTTCTGGGAAGGGTGTCTCTTGAAAAAAACAAATTTATGTTTCTAATTTTTCCCTATGTGCCCTAGGGATAGAACCAGGTATAAATAATAGAATAGCAGATTCTGGTTAAAGTTCTTTTAACAAATAGTGCAGTCACAAAATGGAACGCAATTCCCAGTGAGGGAGGAGCTAATAGGTAATATATTTATAATCAATATAATTATCCACGCAGAGGCTAGAGGACTGTCTAACAGATGCTTTTTAAAAAGACTTTGCATTTGGTGAGAAGATAGAGAAAATAAGCTCAAAATTTTTTTTCATTTTTATTTTTATTTATCTTGTTGTTTTGGTTTGGTTTTTGTTTGTTTGTTTGTTTTTTGGTGAGGGGAGGTAATTGGGTTTATTTATTTTTGGAGGAGGTATCAGGGATTGAACCCAAGATTCCATGCATGCTAAGCATACGCTCTACCATTTGAGCGTCCCCTCCATGTCATTTTTTAAATCTTTACTCTTAAATCATTCAAAGGGGAACACTCATTCACGAGTCCCTGTTGAGGCTATCTTGTTTTGTCCCTTTTCACCTGCTGGTTGCACATAGATGGCATTGCCCAGTCCCTGAGCTTTTCTGGGAGTGATTCTGAATCCACTAGAGAGAGTCAAGGCAATCATATTCCTTCTAGTTTTTAAGAGCTCTGAATGGATAGATCTATTTTTTGAAATTCATAAAATAAATGGTGATTTTTAAGCTTTCCTTCTGCCTCGGGGACCTCCTCCTAAGTCTTGGCTAAGAATTTCCAGATCATGAAATAGTTTTTCCCCTGCTGCCTTTCAGTAAAGGAAAGGAAAAGTAAATATGTCCCTAAGTTGTTTTCTTCCCTTCATGAGTCCCCTGCCATCCTCTTGACCAAGGCCTTTGGTGGTGGGGGCTGTGGACAAGGGCAAAGAGAGTCGAGTAGCAAATCCAGCATGTTCATAACCATCACATGCTCTGTTCCACTGAGTCCTGAGCAAAGAAGGAGTTCCCAGAATCCTTTTACCTGTTACCTGCTCATTTTGAACCCCTTATCCTAGTATAGTTTTCTTGGAGCAACACTTCAGTCCGTTTATTGTATTTATTGTTCATTGTCTCTCCCAACTACACTGCAAGTCCCATGAGGGCAAGGTCTTTGTGAGCCTATGCAAGTTTTGTTCCCTGATGCATCTTAAGTCCCCAGAATAAATCTGTCATGGTTTCGGCTCCCCAGCATTTGTTGAATGGAAGAACCTGGTGGATGAGAATTCAGTGTTCATTTTCAAAAATCCTTTAAAGTAAGTGTATTTTATTTTTAGAATCTCACTAACTAATTTACCAATTAGTATTGTATTAGTTTGGATTCTCCAAGAAAGCAGGACCAGTAGAAGTTGGAAGACTACAGCAGTGATCCAGGTGAAAGAGTGTGGTGCTTCAGCCCGGGTACTCATCTGGGAGGGAGTCAAGAAGTGAGCATATTCTGAACGTAGAGTGGGGAAAATTTGGAGGATGGCAATCCTGAGCTCTGTATGAAGATCTGGGTTTGAGATACAACTTTGGGAGTTCTAAAGTTTCCTTCAATTTGGTTAAATATTTATTGGGCACCCTACCATTTGCTGGACACCAACCTACACATTTTAGGAACAAATATTAAGAATATATAGTGCTTCCCTCAGGGATCTCAGAATTAATGGGGAAAGCAGATATATCAATAAAAACTGAAATATTTAATAAAAGTAGGTATAAAGACCCATGAGGATGCAGATGCAGCAATAGTTAATTAACTAATTCCATCTTTGGAAGAGCCAGGTATTAAACAATTGAGCTGGAACTTGAAGGTTAAGGAGAATTTCCCTACATGGTCAGAGTGAGATATTCCAGGTAGAGGGGAAGGTATGAGTAAGTACAATTTCACATTTCATAAGGTAAACATGCTCTGGCATGCTGTAGGTTATAGCAAATTAGTTAATTCAGTGACTTAATTAGTTAAATCAGTTAATTCAGATACATTTTCCCTCATAATCTGGAAAATATATAGAGGCAAGTGCTCCTATAGACCTACAGGTCATCATATATGAGACTGGAGGACTTTTATTCATGGGGCTTAAAAAGAAGGACTGCCTTTCATCTACATTGCAAATTTCTATCTGGTTCTATACTATTTTATATTGATCTATGTTTTCTGTGCACAGTTCCATTTCTACCAAAGATGGAGCAGTCAAGTTTCCTGTCTCACAGAATGAAGGCTATAGCTGAACCCAGGGGGAAAAAGAAGGTAATCTTCCTTTGTTAAACATGGCCCTGGAATCATCTCAGGGCAGATACAACAGATCTTAGGAAACATTTTGTGAGCCCATCTGGCACCTCTGACACTGGATCAAGATTCTCTGAGCTTGAGGGATGGGGGTAGAGGAGAAAAAAGATGAGAAGGCACAGAGGAGCTATAAAGTGAGAACTTGGCGGTACCAGAATCTGAACAGCCAACTTGGAAGGTCATCCCAGAATGAGTGGAGTCAGCATTTGAGGACTGCCTGCCTGGTCTCCACTCCTGCCAGGGCTGCCCTTTCAGCCAGCCTGGCAGCACTGACCACCCAGCAGGTGTTCTGCATCCCTGTGTCCTAATCTCCCTCTATGTGGGCAACTCCCCTTTTAAAAGCTCCAGACACTGGTAAGCACTCCCACTGCTCTAGCAAAACATGGGGCCCCAGAAATCAAGGGATTAGGGGAGTCTTCGGGAAGAAAACCTTATGCTATTATTCTGCTGGGATAGAGTGGAACCAGTTCAAGATCAACACCAACTTGCCTGCTGCCCCAGGATAGGACAGTAATAATCTACACCCTCTCTAGAATCTTTCCTCCCCTTTCATTTTCGGTAACTTTGCCTTGAACAGTTGGGTTGTTGAGCCACAGCTGAGCACCAGAAAGGACTTTAAGGAACAGAATTTCCCACTTTTTCGATTCCTTTAAAAACAAGGGAATCTTCTGTGACAGCTGCTGTCCCAAAGTCCTTGGTCCTATGTTCCTTCCCAAGTCTTGGTCTCACTGTGCTGTTTTCCATGTCCTGAGAATCTTTTATTCTAGTGCTAGGAAGCTTGGTTTCTTTAAGCTGTTGCTTCAACATTTCTCTCTGGGTATAAATTTGGTTTTGTGTCTGGGAGCCCTGTTTTAAAAAAAAAATGTCATTTGGTAAGCCAAAGCTGTTAAATAAATGACATTACAACTGGCTGTCGGTAATAAAGTAAATAGTAAAAAGATAGCATGGCTGGCTGCTCCGTCAGATCTCAGACAACCTAGGACTGGACTTTTGTACTTTCTGCTGAGAAACGTGTGTGTGGTGACAGGGAGTTTGATGCTTTAACAGAATGACAGGCTTATGCACAAAGACACTGACTTTCTGAAGCATTGTGACAGCTTCTCCTCTCACTTTACTTACCCTGCAATGGAATGAGGTGGGCAGGCCGGTATTTGACAGAAGTCCAGCGTAGGGCAGTTAAAAACGCGCTCCCCAGGTCACACACAAGGACAGTCCTCAGGGTGAGGCCCGTTTCTGGACATTGTGCCGCCCTGTGCTCCGGTATCTGGACACGCCTCTCTTCTAACATGCTTTGTGTCCATGGTAAATTACTTCACCTGTCTCGTTTTCTAACCTCTACAATAAGGTCCTTCCAACTTTTAACTATCTTTCCACCGTGTCCCAGAGAACAGGAGATTGGAAATTGGTTGCAGGTGGAAAGAGGCAATGTTTGGTTTGCTAATTACGCTTTCAAGCTCTCTGGTCCGTTTCTTTCCTCATGCCAGCAGCTAGCTAACTTTTCTGTCAGCGTTCCTTTGAATTTGTTGACGGCACTTCAGCTCTTTCGGGTCCTGCCTTCTTTTTGGGAACAGGAGTGGGCGGAGAGGAAGGAAGTGTCCTGCAGCTACCAATATTTTCCTCTAGGAGGAGCCGCGCAGCCCAGATGAGAGTGACGCGCACCCACTCCAAGTCCTCGCCCGGGAACGCTTCATCCCAGCTCCGCGGAATGCTGGTCGGGTCTCGAACCGGCCGCTCTGAACTCCCGCTTCCCCTCGCGGCGGCCGCCCGGGTCCCAGGGGCTGCGGGCCGG